AACTAACTTGGTATAAATTAGAACTAACTTGGTATAAAATGAGAACAAACTTGGTATAAAATAGAACTAACTTTGTATAAATTAGATCTAACATTGTATAAAATAGAACTAACTTGGTATAAATTAGGTTTATAACGTTGTAAAAAATAGAACTATCTTGGTATAAATTAGAGCTAACGTGGTATAAATTAGATATAACGTGGTATAAATTAGGTTTATAACGTGATATAAAATAGAACTAACACAAATTAGATATAACGTGGTATAAATTAGATCTAACGTGGTATAAATTAGGTTTATAACGTAGTAAAAAATAGATCTAACTTGGTATAAATTAGATCTAACGTGGTATAAATTAGGTTTATAACGTAGTAAAAAATAGATCTAACTTGGTATAAATTAGATCTAACGTGGTATAAATTAGGTTTATAACGTAGTAAAAAATAGATCTAACTTGGTATAAATTAGATCTAACGTGGTATAAATTAGGTTTATAACGTAGTAAAAAATAGATCTAACTTGGTATAAATTAGATCTAACGTGGTATAAATTAGTTTTATAACGTGGTATAAATTAGGTTTATAACGTGGTATAAATTAGGTTTATAACGTGATATAAAATAGAACTAACTTGGTATAAATTAGTAAATTAGATCTAACGTGGTATAAATGAGATATAACGTGGTATAAATTAGGTTTATAACTTGGCATAAAATAGAACTAACATAAATTAGATATATAACGTGGTATAAATTAGATATAACGTGTAATAAAATAGAACTAACAAGCCATCACACGCTACAGACTTGAACTAACACTGTGCAGAATAGAACTAACACTCTACAGATTAGAACTAACACTTTACAGAACAGAAATAACTTGGTATAAATTAGAACTAACTTGGTATAAATTAGAACTAACTTGGTATAAATTAGAACTAACTTGGTATAAATTAGAACTAACTTGGTATAAATTAGAACTAACTTGGTATAAAATGAGAACAAACTTGGTATAAAATAGAACTAACTTTGTATAAATTAGATCTAACATTGTATAAAATAGAACTAACTTGGTATAAATTAGGTTTATAACGTTGTAAAAAATAGAACTATCTTGGTATAAATTAGAGCTAACGTGGTATAAATTAGATATAACGTGGTATAAATTAGGTTTATAACGTGATGTAAAATAGAACTAACTTGGTATAAATTAGTAAATTAGATCTAACGTGGTATAAATGAGATATAACGTGGTATAAATTAGGTTTATAACGTGGTATAAAATAGAACTAACTTGGTATAAATTAGAAATAACTTGGTATAAAATGAGATATAACGTGGTATAAATTAGGTTTATAACTTGGCATAAAATAGAACTAACATAAATTAGATATATAACGTGGTATAAATTAGATATAACGTGTAATAAAATAGAACTAACAAGCCATCACAAGCTACAGATTAGAACGAACACTGTGCAGAATAGAACTAACACTCTACAGAATAGAACTAACACTGTGCAGATTAGAACTAACACTCTACAGAATAGAACTAACACTGTGCAGATTAGAACTAACACTCTACAGAATAGAACTAACACTGTGCAGATTAGAACTAACACTCTACAGAATAGAACTAACACTGTGCAGATTAGAACTAACACTCTACAGAACAGAACTAACACTGTGCAGATTAGAACTAACACTCTACAGAATAGAACTAACACTGTGCAGATTAGAACTAACACTCTACAGAACAGAAATAACTTGGTATAAATTAGAACTAACTTGGTATAAATTAGAACTAACTTGGTATAAATTAGAACTAACTTGGTATAAATTAGAACTAACTTGGTATAAAATGAGAACAAACTTGGTATAAAATAGAACTAACTTTGTATAAATTAGATCTAACATTGTATAAAATAGAACTAACTTGGTATAAATTAGGTTTATAACGTTGTAAAAAAATAGAACTATCTTGGTATAAATTAGAGCTAACGTGGTATAAATTAGATATAACGTGGTATAAATTAGGTTTATAACGTGGTATAAAATAGAACTAACTTGGTATAAATTAGAAATAACTTGGTATAAAATGAGATATAACGTGGTATAAATTAGGTTTATAACTTGGCATAAAATAGAACTAACATAAATTAGATATATAACGTGGTATAAATTAGATATAACGTGTAATAAAATAGAACTAACAAGCCATCACACGCTACAGACTTGAACTAACACTGTGCAGAATAGAACTAACACTCTACAGATTAGAACTAACACTGTGCAGATTAGAACTAACACTCTACAGAATAGAACTAACACTGTGCAGATTAGAACTAACACTCTACAGAACAGAAATAACTTGGTATAAATTAGAACTAACTTGGTATAAATTAGAACTAACTTGGTATAAATTAGAACTAACTTGGTATAAATTAGAACTAACTTGGTATAAATTAGAACTAACTTGGTATAAAATGAGAACAAACTTGGTATAAAATAGAACTAACTTTGTATAAATTAGATCTAACATTGTATAAAATAGAACTAACTTGGTATAAATTAGGTTTATAACGTTGTAAAAAATAGAACTATCTTGGTATAAATTAGAGCTAACGTGGTATAAATTAGATATAACGTGGTATAAATTAGGTTTATAACGTGGTATAAATTAGGTTTATAACGTGGTATAAATTAGGTTTATAACGTGGTATAAATTAGGTTTATAACGTGGTATAAAATAGAACTAACTTGGTATAAATTAGAAATAACTTGGTATAAAATGAGATATAACGTGGTATAAATTAGGTTTATAACTTGGCATAAAATAGAACTAACATAAATTAGATATATAACGTGGTATAAATTAGATATAACGTGTAATAAAATAGAACTAACAAGCCATCACAAGCTACAGATTAGAACGAACACTGTGCAGAATAGAACTAACACTCTACAGATTAGAACTAACACTGTGCAGATTAGAACTAACACTCTACAGAACAGAACTAACACTGTGCAGATTAGAACTAACACTCTACAGAATAGAACTAACACTGTGCAGATTAGAACTAACACTCTACAGAACAGAAATAACTTGGTATAAATTAGAACTAACTTGGTATAAATTAGAACTAACTTGGTATAAAATGAGAACAAACTTGGTATAAAATAGAACTAACTTTGTATAAATTAGATCTAACATTGTATAAAATAGAACTAACTTGGTATAAATTAGGTTTATAACGTTGTAAAAAATAGAACTATCTTGGTATAAATTAGAGCTAACGTGGTATAAATTAGATATAACGTGGTATAAATTAGGTTTATAACGTGATATAAAATAGAACTAACTTGGTATAAATTAGTAAATTAGATCTAACGTGGTATAAATGAGATATAACGTGGTATAAATTAGGTTTATAACTTGGTATAAAATAGAACTAACACAAATTAGATATAACGTGGTATAAATTAGATATAACGTGTAATAAAATAGAACTAACAAGCCATCACACGCTACAGACTTGAACTAACACTGTGCAGAATAGAACTAACACTCTACAGAATAGAACTAACACTGTGCAGATTAGAACTAACACTCTACAGAATAGAACTAACACTGTGCAGATTAGAACTAACACTCTACAGAATAGAACTAACACTGTGCAGAATAGAACTAACACTCTACAGAATAGAACTAACATGTTATAATATATAACTAAAAGGGTGCAGATTGGAACTAACACAACATTAGTTATGCTAATATATAAGAACTAACACGGTTCTCTGTATTTGGGTTAAGATTTGTAACAAACTGTTTTTTGGATAAGCAAAATTTAATAAGAACTAACACGCAATGATGCCAGGTCTTCATTTGTTGCTGCCCTCGCTGGATCGGTTTGGGTCTAATGTATCCTTCCCTGGCGTTACCGTCCACCGGCGAGATGTAACGGAACCCAAGCCTCTTAGGGATTTCAGATAAATCCCTAACCTTGAGTAGAACTCTACAGTCTTTGAAGTTAGAATGTGTTATGACGTCCCTGGAGTACATTACACATTCACCGATACCAATGAGCAGAGATTGAAGAAATTCAAAATTCCAGATGTGGTATGGGAGATTGAATAGGCGAATCCATACTAGAAAGGGTTGAGGCAACGTTGTTAGCCTCAGATCCTCTTTCCAACGGCGAAATCTGCCCTTAAATGTGCCCATATCTATCAAACCGAGATCAATAGCTTGGGCAAGAACTTCATCGGATGGAAACTGTACCATGAAGCTGTTCCCTGCCGCCTCCTTGATTTGATGGGGCCATGACCTAAGATTGAAGCGGTAGGCCAGCATTTCTCGGAGCTCCTGCACCGATGGACGGCCTCTATCAAGATTGAAGATGGCGAAAGCAGAAAGATGCCGTAGGGTGCTGGAGGTGTTGGCCGGGACGGTAAGCATCCTCGGAGGGGCACGAGCGGTAATTCCATGATGACAATCTCGAGAGCTATGTCCTGTCCCATGACAGTGTACACAAGAAGGATCCCCAGCCATTTGTGAGGGTATACGATGAAAATAGATAACGCTGGGTTGCGGTTTTTAGCAGGGGGAGGGGTTTGCAGAGGCGCCTACGCTGGGACCAGTAGAAGAAAGAAAGGTGGTGACTGTACAATCGATGGAAGTTCGTATTAGGTATTTAAATTAATTAATTTATTGAATTGACTTGGGAACACGCGAATATATGATGTGATATATTAGTGTGATGGAACCGTCGCTTCGAAAGAAGTGAGCAGCTGGAGGTCTGAAGATAACTTAAATAATTAAAAATTTAGAACTGGCTATGAGATAGAACTAACGAGCATGGTACAGAATAGAACTAACGTTGTATGAGTTAGAACTAACGAGCATCACTAGAACGAACATGGTACAGATAGAACAATACATCTGATAACAATCATTTTCAATTACTTAAATATACATACATTATTGTATTTGTATGAACATATCATTCATCACTGTACACTGTTTCTTCTTTATGTCTTTGTTCAAACCCAGCCAGTAATAATTGTGCGCCAAGTCTTGCTCGCATAGCTTCAGGGATATCGTTCGGAGGATTAACCAGAAATGTTGATCGTCCTTCAATTATGGATTTTATAAAGAGGTAGACGAACACACCACAGTCAAAGCTGCAACATAGAATGAGTTCATTAGACATTTTCGTTCCGTTCTAATACTATAACATGAGTTCATTAGACATTTTCGGTCCGTTCGAATACTATAACACAAATTTGAACAATATAGACATCGGAACTAACCGTCCTCTTTGTTGCTCGCATTTGATGGCTTGATATCTAAATATTTTGCGCACATTATCTTCAATAAAATCAGCATGATGGGCATCAAAGAAGTTTATGATTTTATTAACAGGCTCCATCCAAGCTTCGTGCCCAGCGGAGCTGTAATGCTTGACGACTTTATCTTTAAGATCAACTTCTACAAGATGCCAATGATCGTGCCTGACCAAAGGGATCAAGAGATGCTCCATATTAAGGTCAACTTCTACAAGATGCCAATGGTCGTCCCTGACCAAAGGGATCAAGAGATGCTCTATGCGGTATGCGGTATATTTGTCAATGAAGTTCAGATAATGCTCGTAATTGTTCACCTCCAAGCCATAGAGTGAGTGCTGCAAACACATCATGTTTGAGTTGAAATTAAAACAAACATGAGCTGCGAAGGCTAACTAACACCGTATTAATTAGAACTAACACGCTACAGAATAGAACTAACGTTCTACAGAATAGAACTAACACTGTACAGACTAGAACTAACACTGTGCAGATTAGAACTAACACTCTACAGAACGGAACTAACACTGTGCAGATTAGAACTAACACTCTACAGAATAGAACTAACACTGTGCAGAATAGAACTAACACGCTACATAATAGAACTAACGTTCTACAGAATAGAACTAACACTGTACAGACTAGAACTAACACTGTGCAGATTAGAACTAACACTCTACAGAATAGAACTAACACTGTGCAGATTAGAACTAACACTCTACAGAATAGAACTAACACTCTAAAGAACGGAACTAACATGACTTATGGTAGGTCTAATTTGATGCTAACTAGAACTAACGTGACTCATGGTATAACTAGCATGGATTACACAAGATCTAACATGAATTTCAATCAAAACTAACGTGGTGAAATTAGGAATAGCATGTTCTTACAAGAAAGAACACCGATACCACTCCATATCCTTTGCCGTATGCCTCCTGGCTAATCGTGTCCAAAACTGCTTCTTCCACCTGTAATTGTTATGAAACATTAAAATTCAATTTAAACAATATAATTTGAATTATTAAGGAAGTATATGTTAACCTTGTCGTCAAGGCGGCCACCACGAAGCACATATAACAACTCTTCCCTGTTAATAGTGCTGTTGGTTGTTACTATAACATTATATCTCCTGGTATAAATTAGAACTAACATGAATTAGAACTAATATGTGGAGAATTAGCATATAAATAGTCAACTGAAACTTACTTGTGAATCTTCTGAGAACAAAATTTGGTTAGGCTCTCAATTTTAGCTTTGTCGAGTCTTTCTGCTACGGGAGATGGTATCTTTAAATTATGTACAAAAGCACCTGTGCTATCTATTATGCGTAAGTTAAACAATGTAGGGTCTGGAAGCTCATTATTCAGCTCTCCCAATAGAGCTTCCTCTTCATCTGTCATTGGCTTCGAACTCAACGCATCAAAAGTGGGGATTTGATTTTTTCAGCTAGTTTTACTTTTGGTTCAGGACTTTCAAGTATATCTATACTAATTTTTTCCTTTTTCTTTCTTTTGCCTTCAGTATATGGTGTCCTCTTCCATTTAGATCTCCTGCTTACCCTTCTTGGCTTTGGTGGGCGCTTTGCTTCCACATTGCTCGTTAGAACATCTACAAGATTGTCCACATCATGTTTAATATTCACAAGATCCTCTTCCTCCTGTGCTTCCAACTTATCTACATTCTCCTTCTCTTTATCTACAATATCTTCCTCCTTATCTACACCATCAACAATATCCTCATCAAAACCTTTGTTATCTACAATAAAATCCATATGCTCCTCTTCCTTATCTACCATACGCTCCTCTTCCTTATCTACAATATCTTCCATATGCTCCTCTTCCTTATCTACCATATGCTCCTCTTCCATATCTACAATATGTTCCATATGCTCCTCTTCCTTATTTACACTATCCTCAACCTTAGTATCTACAGTCTGGTCAACCTTACTATATACCCCCTCCCCTGGAGAAGTAATATGCTCCTCTTCTATTGCCTCATCGTCAGCATGATGCTTTACATCCTCTTCAACAATCTTATGTACATGTTCTTGCATGGTGGGCTCTTCCTTATATACACTGCTTGTTTTGGACTTCTGTTCGTCTTGAGCTCCCCGTCGCTTCTTCCTAATTTCATTTGTAATTTTCTGTTTGATATTTGACTTAAGGAGCACTGAGTCTATAACCTCATCATGTCTTCCACATTTTTCAATTATCCTGTTAAGCCTGTTGATCTCAATCATGAATTCTTTACAATATTTGCTCTTGGTCTGCTTTGTAGCAACAAGAAGTCGTTTGAGAAATTTAGCAGAATTTTTCCAAAATGTGAGTTGCTGCTCAATGGGAAGAACATTGATCTCCTCTTCATCGTCAAAAGCAACGTCAATATGCTTTGCCATGATCTGTTATTGATACAAGATTATAATTTTAAGTAGGATTAAACATAATTAGGATATTCTTTGCAGTTAGTGTGAAATGAGTACGACTTAACATAACAGGATACTTACGTAACCTATTGAGAAGTTCTTAGTAGTTTCTTCCTGCAAAGCCTTCCTCTTTGCCTGACGCTTTTGCTGAAGAACTTCATCCCTCTGTTCAGCGGGAAGTGAATGAACATGACCAGGAGAAGCGACCTCCGCAATAGGCCTATGGACAAATGTTATTGACGCTGACTTAGCCTTTGAAATAATTGTCGGCATCCTCATAGATGCGATTCTCTCCTCCCCTGATGCCCAATTTGTCATTGGAGGTCTGGAGGTGTCTAAGATGGCATATTTCTTTATGCCTGTCATCTCATAGTACCAAAGCTATACCAAATAATATATTTACCATTAACATTTAATACTAGACTAGACCAAAGAGAATAAAATATGGCTGCATCTAGAACTAACATGGTGTAAATTAGAACAGAACAGAACAGAACTAACACGCTGCAGAATAGAATTAACACTCTACAGAATAGAACTAACACTGAGCAGATTAGAACTAACACTCTAAATAATAGAACTAACACTGTGCAGATTAGAACTAACACTCTACAGAATAGAACTAACACTGTGTTAGTTCTATTCTGTAGAGTGTTAGTTCTATTCTGCACAGTGTTAGTTCTATTCTGTAGAGTGTTAGTTCTAATCTGCACAGGGTCTAGGGATACCTTCCCCTGCTATGGGACTCCATATCATAGAGCATTGGTACAAAATTTGTAGCAGAGCAAAATCCTCGATATCCCGCTTTTTGGTAGATTCAACAAGCCGTTCAAGTAGCCCTTCAAGATGTTTACGTTGGCTGGTTTCTGATTTTTTTAACTTCTTACCCTCTTCAGAAATGAAAAGCTTAGCGAAGTATTCCAGCCATATTCTGCTTCTTGAGTCCCTATTGTTCCTTATGTCCTCCCCATAAATTGGGAAATAAGTATGGTTGTGGACCCATTGCAAATCAAAACTAACATTTTTCATACCCCCACTTTTTGAATCAGGTATACAAAAGGTGTTATTATCTCTATCGAAAAAGCTCAGCAGCAGCTCAAGGGTGGGCCGATCAGCCGCAGGAGCCCCAAACAAAATGTAGTGCTGAAATATAGAACCGCAGTATGCATCCCTATGCCACTGACGGATCTTCGGGGCAAGGCGCTTCATAAATGCCCAATAAGCCCCGATATTGGCCGTTAACCTTAGTGTTTCTGCTGAGCCTGTTAGAGCAATTTTTTTCCTGCAAAAAATTTTCGAATTTGTACGTTCAATAAGACATATGAAACAATATTAGACCTAGCACTAACGGGAACAAAATAGAGCTAACACGTAATATTATAGAACTAACATTGGACTCATATTAGAACTAACATTGGACTTAAACTAGATCTAACGTTGGTATAAATTTAGAACTAACATTGGACAAAGCCTAGAACTAACAATATTGGGTTAATCTGCATTGTCTCTTCGCAATATAACATAAGCCTAGAACTAACAATATTGGGTTAATCTGCATTGTCTGTTCGCAGTATAACATAACACTTACTGTTTTTTTGAGGGGGGTTCGTTGGTACGACCAGCCATTGTCGTCCTCCTTTTCTGGTCTCGCCATTGTAATGCCTCCTTTTGCATTTCGATTAGGGTTTTCGTAGCTTCCGTAGCTTCCTCCGTGCTGCCACCCGCAGATGAAGCGCCTTTTCCTTCCAACTCGGCTCGGTGCCCGACCTCGTAGTCGTTACTGGATTCTTCCGTAGACGACGACATTTTTCCGGCGAAAACCCTAGAAACGTTGAAATTCGTACAGAAATTAGGAAGATGAAGAGTTCTTGATGACGGTGCTAGGTGGAAGAGAGAGAAAGAGAGGGAGAGTACTTGTAAAGGTGAGGGGCACATTAACCCAGCTCAGTCCCATCAGAGAGCAAGATCGTAACTTCCGCTGGGTTTTTTCTGAGAAGAGTCAATTCGGGGCCTCGTTGCAAATACTATGCGTATTTGGGGCTATTCCACATGGGGCAAAATACAGGGGGGCTAGTCACACGAAGTTCCCACTTTTGGGGCCTGGACACATTTTTCCCAAAAAAAAATCTAAATTTACAAAAGGATTTGAAAATTCCAAACATAAAACAATAAAGTGAACGACCTAAGAATTACAATCAGGCCCTAAAAAGTTCTAATATTTAAAAAATACCCTAAAACTTTTAAATTTTGGCCAAAATACGCTCAGGAATTTAAAACTTATAGCAAAAGCTTGAAAATTTCAAACCTAAAACAGAACACTAAAAATCTATGAATGTTACAAATAGTCTTAGACTTTCGAAGTTGCAAGAAACACCCTCAAAAGTTCAAAATATACAACAAATTATTACAAATATTTCAAACCTACAAATAGTACATTAAAAGCTTGAAATTACAAATAGCCCCCTAAAAGTTTTAGGATTTGCATAAAACACTCTAAAACTTTTAAAACTTACAAAATATGCCCTAAAAAATTCAACTCTACCTTTTACATAACGTAAGGTATTAAAGTGTAACTTTTAAAACTTTAGAGTATATAAGAGCATCTCCAACAGCTTCCCCATTTCCCACTTTTGGAGAATTTAGTTAAATTTTTGGTCCAACAGATTCCCCAAAATAGGGATGGAGGAGAAAAAATGGGGAAGCTTCCCCAAATCTGCAGCATTCTCCAAATTTTTGGAGGAAAAAAGGGATTCTTCAAAATGGGAAAGCTGTTGGAGTTGGTGTAAAAATAATTTGGAGAATATGACTTTTGCTTCCCTATTTTGGAGAAAATTTTGGAGAAGCTGTTAGAGATGCCCTAAGTACCACAAAAAACAAGTCAGTGTACAAATGCAATGCAGGGGAAACTACAAGGTATTTAAGTGCAATCTACCCTTCATCTTTCTCTTCTCTTTATTATCTCGAAAAATTCAATTCCGATATCTATTTATTTCCTCGAAAAATGTTTTCCGCTTCAAACTTATCCAACTTTTCTTGGGTCGGGTTGTGTCGGACATGAGCCAACCCGACCCAATTGACACCCTTTTAGATTATCCGCTTCGATCGTTTCCAACTGCTGCCAGCTTCACCGTAAAAAGGTCAATGACGACAAAGACAAAGAATCAAGCCGCAGTCTAAATCCAAGTAGGGAGGGGGGAAAAAAACCTCTCTCGTCACTGAGAGCAGCGCGAGCGAGGTCGATGGCGACGGCGATGCTGAGGCCCTCTTTCTTCGCCCGAGGAGACCAATCGAGCGCTCTCGATCTCTCCTCCGATCGCGTCAGCAGAAACGCTGGGGGATCTTCCTCTCGATCGAAGAGGGATTTCGTCTTCGTGGTCAACCCTAAAGGTACTCTTTTTTTTTTCTTTTTCTAAACAAAAATTATGGTTTCGATTATCTCTACACGGACGGATTCAGGTGCGAATGGTCGAACTGGGAGAGAGTGGAAGAAGCTGCTTCCTTTTATCAGAGAGCGTCTCGGTCCTCAGTGCAATGTGAGCTCTTCTCTGGCTTCGTTTAAGTGCATTTAGGTTTTTGTTTGAGGTTACTAAGATTGTCAGTGAATGGAATTGTCAATAGATTTTGCAATTTATGTTTTACGGTGTGCTTGGTAACTCAATGTAAAGCTAGTTTTTTTCTTGACTAAGTTAGAGTTGGTTTTGGTCCACGACGGAACTGCTTTAAGGGCTAGAATTTGAACTAGAAAAAACTAGTTCAACTTGGGTCCGAATTTTGCCAAACTAGAAACAAGGTTTTGGACCAAGGTTGTATCAACTAAAACAAGTTCTGTGGAGTTGCTAAACACACCCAATGTTTTCCTAATTGCCAAATAATTATACTGCGTTACTTTCAAACAAGAGTTAGCATCTTTTCAACATGAGGGCTTTACTTGTGGGTTTGAAGCAACATGCTTTAGTCAAGAATGAACAGAATTGACCCACACGTTGCTGCGGCATTAGTATGGAAAAAAACCAAAAAAATAATGGTTTAAGCATTTGACTTGCACATACACCGTGAGTCGAACTACTTGAACTAAAATATAACAAAGTTACAACAAAAGACAACAATTCCTAGTGTATATCAAACTGATACGGAGTAGATTTAAAATAATCCGGTGGATTATTTTTTGGTCTTAGAGTGATTTTGGGAGTGAGTGAGATTAAGAACAAATATTGGTAAAACCTTGGGTTTATAGGCGAAAACCCTTTTTGGAAATATGTGGATTTAAAATAAATGAGAACAAAGCTGTGTCATTTATAGGCAAAAAATCATACACAGTTTGCGATGCCACATTATTAATGTTGCCAAAAAATATAACTGTTAAAGTAATTAGTTTAAAAATACACTATATATGTAGCCACAAAAAGATTGTGAAGTTACATGGACAATTTTTGAAAACAGACCCCTTTGCAAATTTATTCCCTAAAAAAGACCTGTTTCCACTTTATTTTTAAAAAACGACCTAGTTTTAGCCACAGTGCTGAAACTGGGTCAGTTTTTTGGAAAAATGTTCCCAAACTTTACGGGAGTTGAACTCCCGTGAAGTTTTTTCATAACAAAACTTCACGGGACTTCAACTCCCGTGAAGTTTTATTTTGAAAAAAACTTCACGGGAGTTCAACTCCCGTGAAGTTTGGGAACATTTTACTCCCGTGAAGTTTTATTTTGAAAAAAACTTCACGGGAGTTCAACTCCCGTGAAGTTTGGGAACATTTTCGCAAAAAAACGATCCAGTTTCAGCCCCGAGGCTAAAACTGGATCGTTTTTTGCGAATATTTTCAAAACAAGTCTTTTTTTGGGATTTTTTTTACAAAGGGGCCTGTTTTAAAATTTTGCCCGAAGTTACATCTAAACACAACAACTCACACCATAACAACTTTCACCATATACCAATTGTTGAAATACAATGTGAGTTTAAAAACAATTCAATGAAATTTTTCTAGTGTAAACATAATTTTGGAAGTGGGTAAGTTCATAAACTTTGAGTTTATTGGTCAAAAGATCTTATTGGAAGTGGATAAGGTTAAAACTCCATGCGATAAAATTTTTGAATGAATATTATTTTGGGACCCAAAAGTGACTTTAGCAGTGGGTGAGTTTAAAAATAAATCAGGTAAAACTTTGGGCTTATAGGTAAAAAATTCTGTGAATTGAGAGGTTTAAAAATGGGGGTCAGTTGATGTAGTCCTAAGTTAAGATTGAGTTGATTTTATTTGGTGATTTAGTTTGGATTTTATTTAGGAAATTTTATTTTAGTTGATAGGGATTTGCAGGTTGAGAGTTTATGTTTTTCGATGTTTTTGTTGGATATTTGGTTAGATAATATTTTCAGTTTTATTAAATAAGATTTAGGTGATTTGATGTTATTTTTAGTGCTAGATTTATTCTATAAATAAGTTGTATCCGCCATGAGGAAAGGACATTGATTGATGAATAGAATTATGGTTATGTGAGAATGTTGGAGTGATCCTCAAGATGTGAAGCCACTTATCCATAGGTTAGATGCTGTGAGTGAATCCGGTTTATCCTAATTTAGCATTTTTTTATCTTAGAGTTTTTTCAAAACAAAAAGTTATTGTTCACCTGACACTGTTTGCCCATCACTGTTCATTCATCTTCTGGTGGTTATTCGATCCATTTTCCCATTTTCCCACGGTGTTATGCAATCAGAATCCGTTTCTTGTTTGGTTTAAAGGTAAAAAACTAAAAAATCTTTGGAAGTGAGGAGAGTCGATTTCGTGACCATCCTCACAACTAACTATGTTTGTATCGTTGGGCCACATGTCCCTATTTGTTTTATGTTACAATGTTAAATTGAATATTAAGTTATTACAGATGAACTGGGTCAAAAGTGACTTTACAAGTTGGTGAGTTTAAAAATAAATGAGGTAAAACTTTGGGCCCATAGGTAAAAAAAATTTCTGTGAAGTTTGGATTTAAAGAGAAAAAAAATGGAAAAAAAACTTTGAACATGAGGAGAGTCGATCTCGCGACAAGAAGTATTGCTAGGCCACAAGTCCTGTCTACCACTTTTAACTTAAAAAACTACTATTTATGCTACAATAGACAAATATTCTTGTTATAGTAAATATCATTCATGTACAGTGTAATTTTTGAATCTTGAACATGCTTTATATACTACAGTGGGTTTTTTGGGCCATTTATCCACTGTTCAAGCTAAGTTAATATTTTTTAACGTTGAAAACAATGTTCATATTTCATTTTTGTTCTTGCAAATGATCAATTTAACCTTTACTAGACATTTCACAAATATAAATTTTTTCTAGCTCTATTATGGAAAGTTGATAAAACCTGCTAATTGGTGGTATTATTTTGTTTACTGCTTCAAAAATTCACTCTGTAACTAATAGTGAAAAAGTCGTCGCTGAAGTTTTTATAAATATTTATATATAAAAAACCATAATATCAATTTGGCGACATATATACCTTGGTAAATAATACTTGCAGCAACGTGCGAGTTTAATACTAGTTTGTTTTATGTTACAACGTTAAGTTATATATTAAGTTATTAGAGATGTTGTAGCTAAGCATTGTTCATTTGCCATACCTTAATACATAACTTAGCGTTGTAACATAAAATATGTGAACGCAGAGGGCGTGGGGGCCACACCCACGTGGCGTGAGCGAGACACAAATTGTGTCTCGCGGGGGCCACACCACGTGAGTGTTTCAGCACCCATTCACGCGAGACACAATTTGTGTCTTGCGTGGGCGCCGAGTCCAGCGGGTCGCGGGTTCTTTTGAGCCTGGATTCGGGTATAAATAGGAACAGGTTCCTGGTGTTTTTTTAAGAAGAAAACAAGGTTTCTTTGGCGGCTAGAAAAGGGAGATCTTGAGGAGAGAGCTTTGAAGAGATTTTACAAGAGATGTCAATTTTTTTTGGGTAAAAATTAAATTTTCTTCTTTTGAGACGAGCTTATGGATTGTACAAGTCGTTAGTGTTATCCTCATAGTGGAATCTCCCATTCTCCTTCTCCCGTGGACGTAGGAAAGTTTGTCGAACCACGTAAATCTTGTGTCTTTACTGTTTTCTAGGTGTTTACTATTGCTTGTAGGTTTCCTCGACAAGTCAGTCCTAAAACTGATGAGAGGGAGAGTGTATATTTTACTTTGTTGAGATATTATACTTTCTGTTCTTGTTTCCTTAGTGAAACGGGAATATAAATGTTGACTTGAGCTTTTGTGACAATAAAAGTCAGAGTTTTTTCTCGGGTGATGTAGGCTGTCTAAAAATCATAACAGATAGCTAATACCCATCAAACATAAATGATGGAAGTTATAACCTGACGACTTTCACATTAGTAGTTCAACAAAGAAAGTTATAAGTAGACGACTTTCATGACAATAGATGAAAGCTCTGATTCAACAGCCTTTACAATCAACAGTGAGAGTTACAATCAGACGACTCCCACATTTCAGAAAACTAAAACAAAGATTACAACACTCTGTCAGAAGAGATTACAAGTTAATAATCTCTTCAATCCAAAACATAGATCCTTGCGACGCTCTGTCAGAAGAGATTACAAGTTAATAATCTCTTCAGTCCAAAACATAGTACTCACTTCTGCGGTGATTAGCCACGTTCTAGAGCCAAGACAACGCAGCTCCAATTCAACCGCTAAACGCAGCTTGATTCAGCTACTCACGCATCGTCCAACCGCTACGTTCAAACGCAAGTTTCACGACCAGCAACGCAAGACCTGCGTTTGACCTATTCAAACGTGATCTTAACAGTTCCAGAAGTCGCTGTTCACCCACGATTTGGGGAGTGACTTACGTGAGTTGTTACACCCGATTAATGGGGTAACTAAACCCCCATTTAGGAGCGGATTAAGGGGGCGATTACACCCCTTAATCCCCATATAAATATCAACAAATTCAACTGAGTTCAGGATCGATTTCCCGAAGGTCAGATCAGAGATTGGGCTTCGAATCGAACTTCTCAAGGCATTCTTCAGCAACAGAAAGTTTTGATACTTGGCTATTAACCGATTTTCGGTTCAAACAATTCTTTTCACAGAGTTTAAACTCGTTCTGAGTTCCTAAACTCGTTAAGAGTTCTTTCAATCATTCCAGTGAGGTAAGACGTTCAGATCGTCAACGGAAAACAAACTCGACGCGAGCATTCGAGGGAGGCATTCCATCGTTACCGTGAAGAACCCAGAATTAAACAAAAAGGAGGATCTTCGTCGATCTTTTTCTCTTTTGTAATCGAAAATTTAAATTGTAATCAAGATTAAGAGTTATAAATTTTTTTTTCTAAACAGTTAGAGAGAATAAAATCAAATTCAATTCTTTTATTTTCTTATTATAATTTTTTCACCAAACAGGTGATATCGTTTTCGCGGCGTGAGAGCGTGACTCTGCACCAAACAATTGGTATAAGAGCTGTTATTTAGATTGAGAGTAGTGTAGCTTCTGATTTGAGGTGATGCTCAGCAATTTCCTGAGAGAAGCGGATTTATTAATATAA